TGTTAATCGCGCTGAAATCATGCGTTTTAAACCATATGAGTTTAAACTTCTGATATAGGGTTTTCTGAGCGCACACATCTGAAGCACACGCACAGAAAGCGGCTGTCACAGCATGCGAGCACTAAACTAAGTTCTCATTCACACACAAGCTTACGTTAAAAACACAAACATAAAAACAGCTGGGAAATAAATCACATGTTTATTTTAGATCTGTGTGGCAGCAGCAATATACAGTAAATAAATCAATAAATGCACTGCTCTGTCGTCTCTGAGGCTGGGACTCTAAACAGTGTTCTGTGCTCGTCTGTGCAGCCAAACACAGAACAGTTAGCATGCTTCGCTCAAACTTTCATCATGGCATTAGAGCTGCTACACCGCTGTCGCTTGCGAAATCACAATGACGGCGCCGTGGGTGAAACTTACAGATTAAGGGGCGGTGATATTATAATGAGATCCCTTTGTCACGTCACCTAGCAAGCGAAATCAGACGCGCTCATTTTCTCAGACGCTTGCAGAAAAAGGCTTCCCAAAACAGAGTTGCTGGGTTAATCTTTTTCACGTTTGCTTGGTTGGTAGATGCACCGGAGACCCAATTTATAGCACTTACAACCTGGAAAAGTCAGATTTTCATGATATGTCACTTTTAATGTGTGGGAACGTAAGGGGAAATTATATTTTCATCATGAAAATAAAAACTTTAATATTCCTAAAAACTTAATTTACATAATTTATCACATTCAAGCACCAAAATTTCTCATTACTTCATTACCACCATAATACGGTTATGAATGATCCACTGTTATTTTAGTATCACTGAACTACTATTATAGATTTTTATACTAATTTGAAGAATATTTGAATATTAATATATTTTCTGCTTTCCTGTTAATTTTAAAGTTTTTGTCGTGTGCTTTTCATTAGTTTTTGTTGTTTTTCAATATGCCTGTGTAGTTTTTATTCTATTTATAAGATTGGAAACTAACTGAAATAAAAATAAGTTTTTTTTTTTTATATTTAGTTTTATTTCAGTTGACATTTGTTTTATTTCAAATCACAAAAAATGCTTTTTGTATGGTTTTAGTGGTTTTACTTCACTATAATAGCTCTGGTCTCTGGACTCAGTGTTTTTTTGTTTGCTTGTTTGTTTTAATATATATAAGCTGGCATAAAATTGACTTTAAATTTGGAAATGAGTAATTTTTCACCTTCTCCAGGGCTATGTTTCATTTGCACTGTGAATGGAAGGAAATAGTTTGATAATCAAGCGGTTTTTGTTAAACAAAATATTTTTCCTCTTTTTTTCAGATCCTAATTTCGTCCGGACGTTTCTGACCACATACAGATCGTTCTGTAAACCTCAGGAGCTGCTGGATCTGCTCATGGAGAGGTCAGACGCTCACATTCACACAATCAGCACTGCAAACTGCTGCTGACATCCATATAACAGACTGATAATGGCCTAGCCTATTAATTGCAGTTTATTATTTTTATTATTTGCCTTTTTTCAGTTAAGACTTTGTTAATCCTAATGGTGCATAAATAGTTTTGTGTTTTTAGTTACTTTTCACTGTAATGTGATCATTTATAGATTTTTTTGTTTAAAAACATTATTGTAATATGGTGATTTTTAAATAAAAACAACTCAGCCATGATCAGCTGTTTATCTATAGGTTTTCTGTCGGTCGTGATGATAATCTTTGCTCACACTGTGAAGTTATTGTCATATCCACGGAAACATCTCTCCATACAGTCTGTGCGTTTGCGTTCCAGGTTTGATATTCCTGAACCCAAACCCACGGAAGCGGATCAGATGGCCATGGAGAACGGAGACCAGCCGCTGAGCGCAGAACTCAACTGACACACACTCTCTCACACACTCTCACACTGACACACACACTCTCTCACACTCTCACATTGACACACCCACACACTCTCACACTGTCACACACTCTCTCTCACACACACTCTCTCACACTCTCACATTGACACACCCACACACTCTCACACTGTCACACACTCTCTCTCACACACACTCTCTCACACTCTCACATTGACACACCCACACACTCTCACACTGTCACACACTCTCTCTCACACACACTCTCTCACACTCTCACATTGACACACCCACACACTCTCACACTGTCACACACTCTCTCTCACACACACTCTCTCACACTCTCACATTGACACACCCACACACTCTCACACTGACACACACTCAATCGCACTCACACATTCACTCACACACACACACACACACACACTCGCACAATCACACACACACACACACACACACACACTCGCTCACACTCTCTCACACACTCACTCACACTCTCACACTGACACACACACACACACTGAGACACTCACTCACTCACTCTCACACTCTTACACTGACACACACTCAATTGCACTCACACAGACACTCACTCACACTCTCACACTGCCACACACACACACACACAAACATTCACGCACACTCACACACTCATTCGTACACTCACTCACACTCTCACACTGACGCACACACACTAACTCACTAAGTCACACACATGCTTACACAATTGCACACACTTGCACACTCACACTCGTTTACTTGCTCACGCACACATTGACACTCACACACACGCACACATACACTCACACAGTCACTCACACTTATTCGCTCGCTCGCTTACACACACTCAATCGCACTCAAATTCACACTTGAACACTGACACACATTCATGCACACTCACGCACTCACTTACACTCGCTCACGTGCACACACACTCACACACACTCACACTCTCACTCACGCTTGCATACTGACACACACACACACTCACACTCTCACTTACTCCCACTCTCTCACTCGCGCACACACACAGCAGTACTGTATCATACGGCTGTCTCTAATGCGTATCTGTGTGTCTGCAGGGTGTTGAATGTGTGCAGGCACTGGGTCGAGCATCATTTCTATGACTTTGAGAGAGATGCTCAGTTGCTGCGGCGGCTGGAGGAGTTTATCGGCATGGTCAGAGGTACGCACACAAACCTACTGATCTCCATCATCATCATCATCATCATCATCAAAGATGATAAAACCATGGAAATGTCTTCAAAATCCAGTCATAAAAATCATATTTACTCTATAATGGAGAATGTCTCAGAATTTGGCAAATTTAGATGAATAAATCATAAGTAGAGGTGTACACTGAATAAAATCATGATCTGAAGAAAAATATACTATAATTATACAGTAGAATGTACTTCTAAAAGTAATAATACAGTTTATTAAAACATTGTTTTTATGGAATATCACACAGTATCACATTTTTTTTGTCCAGGTTTTAATTGAATCAATAAAACAGTTTCGAACTCTTGCAATTTCATTTGATAACATTTTAAAAGATTATTTTTAGTGCTGTCAAAATTAATGCGTTAACGCAGGCAATTAATTTTTTCAGTTTAATGTGCGGAAACTGTACTGTTTGCAACGTGTTATCTTCAATTGCACGCACATAGGCGCCGGCGCGCACTGTACCCTGTATCATTTAATATCAAATCACAAAAGAAACTACGTGCATGCAATGTCGTGGTCAGTTAAGTCATGAAGTTACCAAAACGGTGATTAAAGCTGCCTTAAAACTGTGCATGCATGTAATATATTATATATGAGTCACATTTAAGAACATGTCTCTGAAATGGTTTTCAAAACTGTCCTGGAGCCCAGCACTGTCTCCCTCATCTAACACACCCGATTCAACTCGTCAGCTCATTATAGAGACTTTAAGACCTGAAGTGGGTCAGAAAAGGTAAAGAGAGTTGAGAGAAAATACAATGTGTGTCAGATCAGCGTCACGTTCAGCAGCAGCAGCTCTTAAAGTAACAGCAGCCAAAACAACCTAATAACCAGCTGCTGTGTTGTCTGTTAATCAAAGGACAAAGAAGAGGAAATAAAGAACTTTTATAGCTTTAAAAGGTTCATCTATGTTTAATTTAGAATGTAGTGTTTGATGACTTTATTCAATTTCTGTATATTTCTGCTGAAGGGCACAGGTATCTAAATATGACATTTATTATAATGGGTTTATGTGAAGATTGTTTTAAGTTCACTAAAATTAGATGTTATTTTTTTAAGTCTAATAACTGTTCAAATTGATAGCTCTCAATTATACTGTAATGCTGAATGGCTAGACAATGGTTAAATATTAGGGGGAAACTATTTTATAGAGACATCAGTAGTATTGGTATCAGTGATACTGGCCTTCAAAATGTTAAAATTGATAGCGCTCAGTTATACTGTAATGCTGAATGGCTAGACAATGGTTAAATATTAGGGGGAAACTATTTTATAGAGACATCAGTCTCAATCTAAACAAGTCTATACAAATATTAAAAAATATACTGTCTGTGTGTACATTAATTTGAAGGTTGAATGTAAAAATTATTGCAATATAAATGTATATTTAAAACTTTAATGTTAGGTGGGATTAATCAGTTAATTTTTAATTAGTTAAATTGTTTTTATTGATTGACAGCAATAATTACTTTTAATTGTTAAAGTTTTATGTATCAATTTGATTAGCACCATTTAGCAACAAAAATAGAACATTTCTTAGGGAACTGTTATTGTTAAAATAGTAAATTGTAAAAGTTTTATGAATTCATTGATTAGACATCCTTTTTGATTATTACAATTCAGTTAAACCATAAAAATGGAATCCAGAAAAATTCAAACAGAAAACAGAATTTCTGGAAGAAAAAAACTGCATTGAATTAAATATGATAAATATGAATTAAATTGATTAGAAATGCACACCGTTGAACGGAATCCAGAAAAATTTTAACGGAAAACATGAAATTTGTGAGAAAATAAAACAAATGTCATAGTGTCCTAACCAGGCATGATGTAACCGTATTCCAATGTAATTCCCATCATTTTTCGGTCCATCATTATTTCTGAAAGGGAAAATGATGCACTGGATTTTAAGCCAATGAGATTTCACTGTGGATGGTGGCTGGTTACAGGAACTCTTGCATAAATCTGATCTCAGCTCAGTTCTGTCTCTAACATCGGTCCTGTCACCTGTCTGCAGGTAAGGCCATGAGGAAGTGGGTGGAGTCCATCACGAAGATCATCCAGAGGAAGAAACAGGCTCAAGCCAACGGCCCCAGTCACAACATCACGTTCGAGAGCTCGCCGCCACCCATCGAGTGGCACCTGTGTAAAGCAGGACAGACGGATCAGTTTGACCTCATGACCCTTCACCCCATCGAGATCGCCCGACAGCTCACGCTGCTGGAGTCCGACTTCTACAGGTGCAACCCTCAGCCTGTGACCTCTGACGTCTTTTCGCCATTTACTCGCCCTTATTTCAATCCAACCCTGTTTTTTCTTTAGTGGAGATATTTAGCTGAATGTTCACGCTGCTCATTTCCGTATAAGCAGGCGGCGACCACAACGGCACCGTAAAATTTTCATGAAATGATACCACACACAATATACACTCCACTCAAAAAATATTCATGTTTAAGATTTATGTATTTGAATTGCATATAAAATTTCCATCCATTTGGAACATACAGTTTGAACGTAAACAACAACTGGCAAAATATGCATACTTAATGTGTGTAATATTTGTTAGTCATACATGAAGAAAACAGATTTCTGCACTTATTGTATAGTGTATTATTAACTAAGTATCCATTTGATTTTATTTAAATAATCACATTTTCAATGCATTTATATATATAAACCTATTTACATAAACGTATAAAACTGGTTATTGTGTATTACAGTCATGCATAATTAAACAAGTCAGCTTGCTGTAATGGTACTAAAAACTGAATGTGTTTTAAAATATACAGTAACCAGGTTTATATATTTATCATCAATAAATCCAGTTAATGTCAGTCTCATACATTTAATCTCATTGAATATTGCTTGTTCCACATAGTCATATTTTACCAAGTTTATACTTTTAAACGGAATAAATGTAATTGTTTTCCCAATGAACAGATTTTTGCTGATTCTAAGCAATTTAAATGAATGCATTTTGAAAATATGATTATTTAAATCAAATCAAATAGATGCAAATAGTTATTATTAAACACATTTTTTTGACTGACAAATATGCATCACATTAGGTTTATTAGTTTGCTTATGTTGAAGCTGTGTAATCCAAATGCACGAACGGCTTATATGCAATTCAGATACAAATCTTATATTTAGGCCTGAATTTTTGTTTTTTTGTGTAGCAATAATTTTTTGGCCATGAAAATTATTTTAATAAAAAAAAAAAAAAAAGTATGCTTTTGTTCATCAACTATGCATTAAACTGACGGAGTAACCGTAAATACATTTATAATGTTACATAGCTGTATGGAGCTCATGTACTCATGCTTTTTCAGTCAAATGCTTGAGAAGTCAAAATGAAGAAATGCACTGGCCTAAATATTAATTTCTGCTTGTTTTGTGTTTGTTTAGTATTTTATTGTTGTTTTTTTCTTTACAAGGGAAAAGGCTGGATTTCCTGTTTGTATTTTAGTGTTTTGCTCTGTTGTCAACTGTATGCTCAGAAAATGGGGCAGTTTAACACAATAGAGAGTCCAGCTGTGACACACACACACACACACACACACACTTCCCTTCACCTCTGTGGGAACAGGCAGTAAGCGTCGTACCCAAGGTCACCACCTCAGCTCCGTTTCCCTTGAGGCTGTTCTGTGCCCTCGTCTCCCTAAACACTGAACCAAACCACACACTCAAAACACCTCGGCCCTGACTAAATGAGCATTCTGAGTGATTTTCACTTCATTTCGGTGTGCTGCTGTCAGTTTCCACAGACGATCGTCTCTCAGTGTTTCTGAACGAACAGGAAACATGTTAAAGTACAATTACAATAGACGTCTACCATCATGAGTGAAGCTTGTATTTGTGTTCAAGCTCTTACATGAGTTAAGGCAAAACCATAGTTTTTTCATGCACTGGTAATTTTTAGATTTAGGTTGAATACATCCATCTATGTGTGTCTGTAGACTTCAATTACAATACATACCTTTTAAAGGCCTTTTCCTCAAAGAGTTTTTCCTCCACTTCAGCAGCACTTACAGACACCAAACTTAGCAGTTTTATTCCTCTCTATATTCTGAAGGTTTTTACTGAGGGGTTTGTGAATATATATTTTTCCTGAGTTTTGTATAATATTTTAGTCCTAAAACATGGTGTAAATATACATGTTTTCTGTCTGTTGACAGTATTTTCTGATTTATGGAGTGATAAAATGAAAAATCCAAGATCCCATCAGAATATAAAACCCTTCAGAATATAGATAGAAATAAAACTGTAAATTTTGGTGTATGTAAGTGCTGCTGAAGTGGAGAAAAAACTCTTTAAAGATATGGATTGCAATTTAAATCTACAGACACAAATAGATAAAGTGTAATAAGACGAGACACTACAAACAAAACCAGTGTTTTTTCATGCACTAGTCAGTTTTTAAATGTTGGTCTATTTTGCTTCCATATCATGTCTCTTCTTTCAGACAAGTGGAAAGAAAACATCCAAAATGCACATTTAAGTGTTTATTTTATTACACTTTATCTATCTGCATCTGTAGATTTCAATTGTGATGCATATCTTTAAAGAGTTTTTCCTCCACTTCAGCAGCACTTACATACACCAAACTTTACAGTTTTATTCCTCTCTATATTCTGAAGGTTTTTACTGAGGGTTTTGTTAATATTTCATTCACACTGATTTATACAACCTTTTAGTCCTGAAATTGTATTTGTTTTTTGTTTTTGTCTGTTGAGAGTATTTTCTGATTTATGGAGTGATAAAAAGAGAAATCAAAAATCCCCTCAGTAGTAACATTCAGAATATAGAGAGGAATAAAACTTCTGAGTTTGGTGTATGTGAGTGCTGCAGAAGTGGAGAAACAAACTCTTTAAAGATATGGATTGCAATTTAAATCTACAGACGCAAATGGATAAAGTGTAATAAACCGAGACACTACAAACAAAACCAGTGTTTTAATATTGGTCAATTTTGAGATTTTGTCTATTTTGCTTTCATATCATGTCTCTTCTTTCAGACAAGTGGAATAATACATCCAAAATACACATTTAAGTTTTGTTGTATTTCACTTTATCTATGTGCGTATGTAAATTTCAATCTCAGTCCACATCTTTAAAGAGTTTTTCCTCCACTTCAGCAGCACTCACATACACCAAACTTTACAGTTTTATTCCTCTCTATATTCTGAAGGTTTTTACTGAGGGGTTTGTTGATATATAATTTTCCTGAGTTTTAATAACATTTCATTTAACTTGGTGAAAATGTGTATTCTTCTAGCTAGTCACAGTATTTCCTGATTTATGGAGTGATAAAAAGAGAAATCCAAAATCCCCTCAGTAAAATCCTTTAACTCTAATATGTCAGCAAATTCAAACAAGAATTTTGAACCTGGCTTCATCCAGTTTTTAGATTTATTTTATGGAAATGTATGCAAATTATGGCATATAATACATAACTTTTCAGGGAACTTATAAAACAATAGTCCTAATGTACTGTGATTATGGTGAGATCTACACCATATTCTCCTAGTGTCTTGCTTTAAGTATTGAATATGTATTAATTGCATTAGTGTTTAAATCATCCCTTTGAGGTGGAACTACTGTTCTAAGTGTTTTAGACTAAACTAGCAATTTGAAGAGAGAAAAAAAGTCCTAATTTGTGAGATATAAACTCAGATTTGCAAGAAACAAAGTCTGAATCGTGAGATAAAATGTCACAATTACCTTTTTCATTATTTTATTCCTGTTTTGGTTTCTGACGGGACTTTGTGTTTGATTGCGATCTTCTCGTTTTAGGGATTTATTTAACAAATATTCTGAAAACTGAGGAGGGAAATCCAGACTTCCTGAAGAGACACGGCAAGGAACTGATCAACTTCAGCAAACGGCGGAAAGTGGCGGAAATAACCGGAGAAATCCAGCAGTACCAGAACCAGCCGTACTGCCTACGTGTGGAAAACGACATACGGGTCAGAAAACTGTTCACATTAATTACACTACCATTTTTTAGAAGAAATTAATAATTAATGCATCATCAAGGACCCATTAAATTGATCAGAAGTGACAGTAAAAACATATTTTCATATAAAATCGCAAAAGGAACTACGTGCATGCAATGTCGTGGTCAGTTAAGTCATGAAGTTACCAAAACGGTGATTAAAGCTGCCTTAAAACTGTGCATGCATGTAATATATTATATATGAGTCACATTTAAGAACATGTCTCTGAAATGGTTTTCAAAACTGTCCTGGAGCCCAGCACTGTCTCCCTCATCTAACACACCCGATTCAACTCGTCAGCTCATTATAGAGACTTTAAGACCTGAAGTGGGTCAGAAAAGGTAAAGAGAGTTGAGAGAAATACAATGCGTGTCAGATCAGCGTCACGTTCAGCAGCGGCAGCTCTTAAAGTAACAGCAGCCAAAACAACCTAATAACCAGCTGCTGTGATGTCTGTTAATCAAAGGACAAAGAAGAGGAAATAAAGAACTTTTATAGCTTTAAAAGGTTCATCTAGGTTTAATTTAGAATGTAGTGTTTGATAACTTTATTCAATTTCTGTATATTTCTGCTGAAGGGCACAGGTATCTAAATATGACACTTATTATAATGGGTTTATGTGAAGATTGTTTTAAGTTCACTTAAATTAGATGTTATTTTTTAAAAGTCTAATAAATGTTAAAATTGATAGCGCTCAGTTATACTGTAATGCTGAATGGCTAGTCAATGGTTAAATATTAGGGGGAAACTATTTTATAGAGACATCAGTAGTATTGGTATCAGTGATACTGGCCTTCAAAGATGCCATCAAACAAATCTTAAAAATATACCGTCTTTGTTGTTTGCACAATAATTTGAAGATTGAATGTAAAATTATTGCAATATAAAAGTATATTTAAAAACTTTAATGTTAGGTGTTAATGTCTTTAATGTTAAAACTTTAATAAAATGACTAAATGACTGTCACATTGTGTTGATGCTGCAGAAGTTCTTTGAGAACCTGAACCCGATGGAGGACATGACGGAGAAGGAGTTCGCCGACTATCTGTTCAACAAATCTCTGGAGATCGAGCCGCGTAACGCTCGCACGCTGCCTCGATTCGTAAGTCTGCCTGTCGCTGAAAGGTTACACAACACACACGAGAGCCTCCTGATCTCGGTGTTAAACCCTCAAGTGCTTAGGGATGTGAACCAGAATAGTGCTGATGTACAAACTAAGCACGAGTTCACTTGTGTAACAGTGAAAAAGCCCAAAACATCACGCTGGTGGAACTTCAAGAGCCCATCAAATGTTTTGACCTATCTATTTACTCCGATGCCCCTCATTGTAAAATAAAATATTCAAAGGATATTTCTGCTACTTCTGCTGTAATGAGAAAGCTGCTCATTTTCAAACTCATTTACAGAATCTAGAATTGACAATAATATAATTACAATAATTATTTTAAAATTGTAAATAAAAAATAATTATTTTAACTACTTTTTTTTTAACATAATTGATACATTACATAATACATTATTATTTTTTACATAATTAAAATATTAATTTATAATATTACAATATAATTTATTTAAAAAAAATATTGGTAATTAAATTCCATAATTCCAGACATTTTAATAAATGTTCTTCAGAATTGAAACTTTTTATTACCAATGAATTAACATGATTTTTCATGATTTTTAGGATTTTTTATGTATTTTTTTTTACTCACAAATAGTAATTTCTACCCAATAAAACGTTTTAGCGGTTGACATAACTAGAAAAAATATATTCCTGATGAAAATTTTAATGTTTATAAAATTTAAGATTTTATTGCATGCTAAGAAATCACAATTTAAAAAAAATCCTTATATATTGAGGTTTTCCAAGATCATGAGATTTCAGTTTTTTTTATATATATTTTTACTTTTGTCATTTTAACTTGTGTAAAATTAAGATGACAGAGTTTTAGTGCAATGTTGGACACTAACTGATATATCCCATAGATAGATAGATTGTGGAATTTCTTCTCATTTTGTCTTCTTCTCACAGCCGAAGAAGTACAGCTGTCCTCTGAAGTCTCCGGGTGTTCGCCCGTCATCCGTCCGCCCGGGAACCATGCGGCACCCGACGCCGCTGCAGAACGAGCCCCGGAAGATCAGCTACAGCCGCATCCCAGACAGCGAGACGGAGAGCAGCATCGCTTCAGCGCCCAACTCTCCCCGCACTCCACTGACACCTCCACCAGCCTCCACCGCATCCAGCTCCACCGAGATCTGCAGCGTCTTCGACTCCCCGCAGCCGCCCTCCAGCCCCTTCCACTCCAGTACGACTCATACACACACACACACACACACTCACTCTCTCTCACACACACACACACACACACACACACTCTAATTTGATTAAATTAGTGTATTATTATTATTATTATTAAATCCTCATCACCAGATGTGAGTTACCCCAGTTAGTTTGGAGAGTAGTCAGTTGTATATCATTTCTGAATTAATTATAATTGTAAAAATGACGATATCCCCCCCCCCCATCTGCCATTGGTCAGTCACACAGATAGCCCCGCCCTAAACTCTCTCCATTGGTCGAGATCCTGGATCAGTGGATCAGTCTGTCACCTTCTCTTGTGTTTCTCTCTGCTTCCGGACAGACAGCGACTCTATATTCGCTCCGGTCGCTCTGCCTCACGGTCCACGTTAGTATCTCAGCGTCTCATGTTCTTCACCCATGCGTCTGTGTCGTGTGTCGGTCCTCTTGCATGTTCAGGCCGCTGTTGATCATGTGACGTGTTTCCCAGCATCCTCCAGAGATGCAGACTCCTCACCTTTCAGTGACAACTGAATTCATAACTTTTTTAATCCAGTTATGAAACGGTAGATTGATCTTGTTTGTATTGGAAGAGTAAGACCAGTCTTAACATGCTGGCTGTGGAACTGGCCCCTGGTTGATTCAATAAGTATTGTATAGTGTTTTCTTTACTCTTTACTTCAAAAACTGTGTCTAAAGGGTAATATTTGATGTGTTTGAGGTCAGAGATGTGTGACGCTGAAGGACAAACATTTAGCATTCCAGCTCAGCATTGCCATCTAATCAGCTAATATTGTCTTAAATAGCCTTCATAACACTTCATCTTTTATAACATGGGATTTCCACCAAATATATTCAAATATCTTGATTTTTGTCAAATGTTGCAACAAGAAAATTGACAGTTTTGACCATGCAAGGTAATGAAAAATATTTTTAGAAATACCTTAAAGTAACAACAGATGAGCATGTGAAGCAAATCTCCGTGTGCTCTCAGCTGCTCCCCGTGACCTGTGTGCATGTGTGGTCCTCTCTGCAGTGACGTCATCAGTGTGTGTTTGTGTCTCTCAGGGTCTTCTTCCGTGTCGTCGATGATGAGTTTCCTCCGGAACGACGAGCTTCCCGTTCCTCCGCCCATCCCGCCGCGCCGCCGGCCCGAATCTGCGCCCGCCGAGTCCTCGCCCTCCAAGGTGCCCAGCATTTCTTTCATATTCTGCTCTGTATTTAATGGTTGATGTAACAGCTAGCCACAGCTACAGAGCAGCATTCATCTTCCGTCTCTGGACAGGAATATTTGGAATATTCCAGGGATTTTTAGAAAGTTTCCGGGAATTTTCCAACCCTAATTACAAGTCAGGTGCACTATAAGTAATTTGCCATACATGCTTATAAATGAAAAAAATATATTATATATATATATAATGTGTGTGTGTATATGTGTGTGTGTATGTATATATATACAAACCCGATTCCAAAAAAGTTGGGACACTGTACAAATTGTGAATAAAAACAGAATGCAATGATTTCAAATTTCAATATTTTATTCAGAATACAACATAGATGACATATCAAATGTTTAAACTGAGAAAATGTATCATTTTTAGGGAAAAATAAGTTGATTTTAAATTTCATGGCATCAACAAAGAAAACCAATTTTTTGACATCTCAAAAAAGTTGGGACCAGGCCATGTTTACCACTGTGTGGCATCCCCTCTTCTTTTTATAACAGTCTGCAAACGTCTGGGGACTGAGGAGACAAGTTGCTCAAGTTTAGGAATAGGAATGTTGTCCCATTCTTGTCTAATACAGGCTTCTAGTTGCTCAACTGTCTTAGGTCTTCTTTGTCGCATCTTCCTCTTTATGATGCACCAAATGTTTTCTATGGGTGAAAGATCTGGTATTTTGTGCCAAGTATTTATAATGCATATTTATATAAACTGTGTTGTAAAGGCTTGAGAATAGATTTTCCACTTTGTGAACATGTTTATAAAAATAAAGAAGGTAATTGCAACTTTTTATCTAACAGTTCTGACATTTTTCTTGCAATTCTGATTTATATCTCATGGTTCTGAGGGGAAAGGTCAGAATTGTGAGATATAATCTCTGAGAAGAATTATGAGGAAAAAGTCGCAATTATCTTTTTGTGTTTTTTTTCTCATAGATGGAAAAAAAATGTAAACTCAGAATTCTAAAAAAAAAAACTATCTCTGAATTTTGAGATATAAAAGTCAGATTTCTGAGTTTATATATGAAATGCAAGAAACAAAGTCTGATTTGTGAGATGAAAAAGTCACAATTATCTTTTTAATGTTTTATTCTGTGCTGGAAACAAGCTTCCATATAATACAGTATGAAAACAGGAGAGAAAAATAGAAACACTTTAGCATCTGTGGAAAGCATCTGAAGAGTTTGGTTCCAAAACGCTTTCAATCCATTTTGATTGTAGGAGTAAAAATGTGTTTTCTTTACAAAAAACACTATTTTCTGTTTCAAACTTTCACTTAGCATCTTTAGGTTATAATAACATTAAAAATTCTAATCAGATTTTCAAATAGTTGCATCTCAGCCAAATATTGTCCGATCCTAACAAACCATACATCAATGGAAAGCTTATTTATTCTCTATAAATCTCAAAATATTGAGAAAATCATCTTTAAAGTTGTTCAGATGAAGTTCTTAGCAATGCATATTACTAATCAAACATTAAGTTTTGATATATTTACGGTAGGAGATTTACTAAATATCTTCATGGAACATGATCTTTACTTAATATCCTAATGATTTTTGGCATAAAAGAGAAATGTATAATTGTGACCCATACAATGTATTGTTGGTTATTGCTACAAATATCCCCCAGCGACTCAACACTGCTTTTGTGCTGCAGGCTCACATATGTAAATATAAATAAACAAAAAAATAGAAAAATAAGTTGAAAAATAAAATAAATTGTATGTACAGTTGTACTATAGGTAGAATAGAATCCTATATCCTCTGCATGCACATGTGATCTCTCCGAGCACAGCGTGTGACGAGTGGTTTGTTGGTGTGTTTCAGATGATGTCGAAGCACCTGGACAGTCCTCCGGCGATCCCGCCGCGTCAGCCCACCTCCAAGGTGTACTCGCCCCGTTACTCGCTGACGGAGCCGCCCGACAGCCCGCCCACCCTGCCGCCGCGGGAGCCGGTGCGAACGCCAGACGTCTTCTCCAGCTCCCCGCTGCACCTGCAGCCGCCTCCGCAGGGCCGCCGCTCCGAGCCCAGCCAGGCCTTCTTCCCGCCGCAGATGCCCGGGCCGCCCGTCCCGCCGCGCCACAGCACCTCGCAGTCGCCCATCCCCAAACTCCCGCCCAAGACCTACAAGAGAGAGTCGGTCCACCGCGACGGGCCGCCGCTCCTGGAGAACGCAAACCCCTCGTAGAGCGACGCGCCTACAGACAGTGCTGGAGACGGAACGAAAACAGACGAAAGCAACATGTGCCCTTAAAGGGACTGTTCAGCCGAGAATGGGAATTCTGCCAGTGTTTAGTCACCCTCAAGCTGTTCCAAACCTGTATGAGTTTCTTTCTGCTGCTGAACACAAAAAATAATATTTTTTAAAATGTTGGCAACCAAACAGCTGACGGCACCCATAGACTTCCATAGTATTTTTTGCCCATATAATGGAAATCAAGGGGAATTGAAATTTTGTTACAAACATTCTTCAAAATAATTAGAAGACACTTAGAAGAACCCAAAAATATATATTTTTTAGAATGTTGGTAACCAAACAGCTGACGGCACCCATAGACTTCCATAGTATTTTAAGCCCATATAATGGAAATCAAGGGGAATTGAAATTTTGTTACCAACATTCTTAAAAATAATTAGAAGACACTTGGAAGAACCCAAAAATATATATTTTTTAGAATGTTGGTAACCAAACAGCCGACGGCACCCATAGACTTCCATAGTATTTTAAGCCCACATAATGGAAATCAATGGAAACTGAAATTTTGTTACCAACATTCTTAAAAAATAATTAGAAGAACCCCCAAAAAATATTTTTTTAGAATGTTGGTAACCAAACAGCTGACGGCACCCATAGACTTCCATAGTATTTTTTGGCCATATACTGGAAGGCAATGGGAACCAAAACTGTCTGGTTACCAACATTTTTTTTTATATTTAGAAAACATTTAGAAAGACAGGGCAATGATTAGTGCTGGGCAATGATTAATCACGATTAATCGCATCCTAAATAAAGGTTTTTGTGTACAAAATATATATATGTGTGTGTGTGTGTACTGTGTATATTTATTATGTGTATATATAATATAAATTATATGAATATAAATATATACATGTAAATATTTTAAATATATATAGGGTATGTGTCTTTATATATACATAATAAATATACACAGTACACACACACACATATATATTATATATAAAAAAACACTTTTATTTTGGATGCGATTAATCATCGCCCAGCATTAGAAGATATTTTGAGAAGTGTGAGTAACTAAACAATCGATGGTACCCATTGACTTCCATAGTATTTTTGGTCCATATAATGGAAGTCGATGGGAACCACAATTGTTTTGTTACCAACATACTTCAAAATAATTAGAAGAACCCCAAAAAATATATTTTTCAGAATGCTGGTAACCAAACCGTTTCAGTTCCCGTTCACCTCCATTATCATTTTTTCCATGTAATGGAAGTCAATGGCTACCATCAACCGTTTGGTTGACATCTAACAAAACATCTCTTTTGTGTGTGTGTGTGTGTGTGTGTGTGTGTGTGTTGTTCAAGGTAAACAAACAGTTGGTGCCCATTGACTTCCATTGCATTTTTTTCCCATATTATTGAAGTCAATGGCTACCGTCAACCGTTTGTTTGCCAACATTCTTAAAACATCTGTTTTTGTGTTCAACAGAAGAAAGAAACTCGTACAGGTTTGTAACATCTTGAGGATGAGTAACTGATGACAGAATTGTAACTTTGGGTGAACTGTCCCTTTAAAATCGTCCTTCCGAGACGACGATTGTGTTTCCATAAAGTGCAAATCACGCCCGCTGGGGAACTCTCTGTATTGTGTTTTGTCTTTCGTGTAGCTGTTTGGTCTCATGTTCGTTTCATTTCACGGCTTGGCTGGTTTTCTGCAGTCATCGGCTGGTTCTCCTCCTGAACACAGACTGAGAAACAAACAAGCCTGCTGGATGACAGACTAAACGGAGCAGCTCTTCTGGAGACGGAGAGCGTTCTCTGGATTATTTCCGGACGCCGCCGGTGTTCTAGACTCACTCGAGAGCCAGTAGACTGAAGAGCACCGGGGGTTTAAGGTACCCTCACACCAAAGAGGTACTGGAGAAAGCTTCAAGAAACACGCGTGATTGTCCTGTACGTCTTAGAACTTTTATTTTCTCAATCATTTCTTGTTTTGCCAATAAGTATGTAAAGATGAAACGATCGCCTTCTTAAAACAAGGGAATAAAAGTGTTTCTACCACTGTATGCCAAACACTAGCCGTGCCACGTCTCTCTTCACTTTACACAGCACAGATGATTTCACAGCAATGATGCAAACTCAGTGTGGACCCAACACTGTTGGCTAGACGGGAGAAGCGAAAACACCCTTAAAATCAAACACTGGCGTGAATATCATGAACGTGACACAGGCTGGATATGATTGTGTGTTGAGCTGTGATGGTTTTATGCTCTCTTGGGACTGGGATCCTGCAGGACTCGATGCAAAACAAATATAGCCTTGCTCCTGATGTCTCTCAACACGGGACAAGAACATATAAGAGCCGAAGTGTTCAACACACGAGCAGATTCAGCCGAATGCTAACTTTATGCCTCTTTAACTTTATGTAGTTCATCTGCTCTCTTTACTTTGACTATCTCTATATAGACTCACACAATCACACACAACAATCATTCCTCTAATATTTATTACAGTATACACTGATAAACTGAACATTGACTGAGAGACTGGCTGCTTTCAGATGAAACTATTTCAGATATAGTGCATTAAACTGCAAACTCCATCATAAAGCGCAGTGTTTCCATCTAACATGTGTTTAGAGCTGCAGCTCGTCATATTAATGCAGTGTTTCTCTATAGATTTGTGTTGGATGTCATCTTTGGAATGGAAATATGGAGATTTTATTTGGTAACAGTTAATGTCATAAATCTAGCGAGCTGAGTCGGTAGTAGAGCTGACAGTGTCGTGTAAACATGACTGAAGACGAGAACAGACGAACCGATTCAACTGAGTGAGTCACTTACGCTGGAACCGCTTCGATTGATTCAAACTCATGAGTTCAATCGATTCACTAGAAGACGAAGACGGGCGTTTTCCCGGTCTTGCGACCAAAGATAGCCTACGATAGTTTTCTGACAGTGTCACACTGTTTTTATGCACATGTCTGGGCTGTTTTCACTGCATTTACACCGTTCTGTCCAGCAGACTTGGAGTGCTTTGAAAAAGTGATTCATTTTGCAAAGCAAATGATTCAAAGCATAGTCTTGGTTTATGCATTCATCGGGAAACATTTATTATAACATGCAATGACTTACAATGTATCAAGAGCTCAAAATATCATTGACTGTGTAACACAGAAGCAGGGAAACACCAGCATTCTGAAAACTGTGCTTTAACATCTGAACAAATGTCCTGGGATCTTCTCACAGGTTGGAGGAAGCCTCACTGATGTGTCTGGGACTGGGGGGTATGTTCTGCTCCGGGGGTGCTCTGCACTAGACTCTGAATGCGCGCCAGGATGATCTCGTTGGCGCTGCTGCAGTCTCCAGGCCTGTAGGGGGCACTGATGGTCAGAGCGTTCGCCACACGCAGAATCTCCCCGTCTTCAGTCACCGGGACTCGGTTCTTCTCCAGCCACAGACGCAGACTCTCCCGCCGTGACTTCAGCTCCTCCGCGCTGAGAATCTGTGCTCGGTCCGGCAGGAAGATGCTCTTCATCTGACGCTCCGTTTCCTCCGTTCCTCTCCTGAGGATCTGGACATCGGTCACCGCGTGACCCAGAATCCCCCTCACCGACGGACGCTCGTTCTCCTGGACGCTCAGCAGCACCACACTGCAGCCCACACAAGAACACAACCAGAGATGATTCAACATGCAAATATATCACCTTATGATTTAAAACACAAATGATTCACCTCATGATTCATAACGATTCAAAATGCATCTTATGATTCAAATGACAAATGATTCACCAGAGGATTGATAATAATTAAAAATCCTAACGATTTTAAACTCAAATGATTCACCTCATGATTCATAATTGTTCCAAACTCAAGTGATTCACCTTATACTTCATAATGATTCAAAACGGACAAGAACATATAAGAGCCGAAGTGTTCAACACACGAGCAGATTCAGCCGAATGCTAACTTTATGCCTCTTTAACTTTATGTAGTTCATCTGCTCTCTTTACTTTGACTATCTCTATATAGACTCACACAATCACACACAACAATCATTCCTCTAATATTTATTACAGTATACACTGATAAACTGAACATTGACTGAGAGACTGGCTGCTTTCAGATGATTTCAGATATAGTGCATTAAACTGCAAACTCCATCATAAAGCGCAGTGTTTCCATCTAACATGTGTTTAGAGCTGCAGCTCGTCATATTAATGCAGTGTTTCTCTATAGATTTGTGTTGGATGTCATCTTTGGAATGGAAATATGGAGATTTTATTTGGTAACAGTTAATGTCATAAATCTAGCGAGCTGAGTCGGTAGTAGAGCTGACAGTGTCGTGTAAACATGACTGAAGACGAGAACAGACGAACCGATTCAACTGAGTGAGTCACTTACGCTGGAACCGCTTCGATTGATTCAAACTCATGAGTTCAATCGATTCACTAGAAGACGAAGACGGGCGTTTTCCCGGTCTTGCGACCAAAGATAGCCTACGATAGTTTTCTGACAGTGTCACACTGTTTTTATGCACATGTCTGGGCTGTTTTCACTGCATTTACACCGTTCTGTCCAGCAGACTTGGAGTGCTTTGAAAAAGTGATTCATTTTGCAAAGCAAATGATTCAAAGCATAGTCTTGGTTTATGCATTCATCGGGAAACATTTATTATAACATGCAATGACTTACAATGTATCAAGAGCTCAAAATATCATTGACTGTGTAACACAGAAGCAGGGAAACACCAGCATTCTGAAAACTGTGCTTTAACATCTGAACAAATGTCCTGGGATCTTCTCACAGGTTGGAGGAAGCCTCACTGATGTGTCTGGGACTGGGGGGTATGTTCTGCTCCGGGGGTGCTCTGCACTAGACTCTGAATGCGCGCCAGGATGATCTCGTTGGCGCTGCTGCAGTCTCCAGGCCTGTAGGGGGCACTGATGGTCAGAGCGTTCGCCACACGCAGAATCTCCCCGTCTTCAGTCACCGGGACTCGGTTCTTCTCCAGCCACAGACGCAGACTCTCCCGCCGTGACTTCAGCTCCTCCGCGCTGAGAATCTGTGCTCGGTCCGGCAGGAAGATGCTCTTCATCTGACGCTCCGTTTCCTCCGTTCCTCTCCTGAGGATCTGGACATCGGTCACCGCGTGACCCAGAATCCCCCTCACCGACGGACGCTCGTTCTCCTGGACGCTCAGCAGCACCACACTGCAGCCCACACAAGAACACAACCAGAGATGATTCAACATGCAAATATATCACCTTATGATTTAAAACACAAATGATTCACCTCATGATTCATAACGATTCAAAATGCATCTTATGATTCAAATGACAAATGATTCACCAGAGGATTGATAATAATTAAAAATCCTAACGATTTTAAACTCAAATGATTCACCTCATGATTCATAATTGTTCCAAACTCAAGTGATTCACCTTATACTTCATAATGATTCAAACGCAAAGTGATTCACCTTATACTTCATAATGATTCAAAACGCAAGTGATTCACCTTATACTTCATAATGATTCAAAACGCAAGTGATTCACCTTATACTTCATAATGATTCAAAACGCAAGTGATTCACCTTATACTTCATAATGATTCAAAACGCAAGTGATTCACCTTAAACTTCATAATGATTCAAACGCAAGTGATTCACCTCGTGATTAATAATGGTCACATATCCAAACGGTTCACCTCATGATTCAAAACCCAAATGATTCACCGATTCATTTGAGTCGAAGTGTTCCAGAAGCCCCTTACCTTAAAACGCATTAACATTTAAAATAAATAAATACTTAAATACTTCTATAAATGACTGTTTCAAATTAAGTTGCAAATATAGATGACATTATAATTGATAAGCCATTAACTTCCTGATGAGAACATAATAAACATCAGATGATCAGATCCTTCAGTTCTGAGCTGATGTTTGTGATGTTCTGAGCTGATCTGTGAGCTGATGAGCTGATGTTCTGAGGTGATCTGTGAGCTGTACCTGGCAGAAACGGGGTCCACCGTGAACACGCGTCCCTCGAAGCGCTGCTGATCTCGACTCGTGACGCACACCTCGTGGTTGACGAGCTCGTGCCAGAGCTGAGGACTCCTGGCGCTCCACTGCAGCATCGCGGCGAGACACCGATCACCCGATCACCCGATCACCGCCAATCAATCAATCAATCAGCGCCTTCATCTTCTTCTTCTTCTCCGAGTCCTCAGGAAACCGACCACGCAGCGGGACACGCAGGTGACGTCACTGCCGCTGGGTCACGGAGATTCTTTCTTTTTTATATATATATTTTTTATTATTATTATTATTATTGAACATATAGAGAGTATACGGGATATATACACCACAGAATAATCCTAATAACGCAAATAAAATGATTTAGGAAGCGCGCGGTGAGACGTCGCAGCACTAGCATGATGGGAAATGTAGTTTTGAGTGTGCGCATGCGCAGTTGATCGTTCGTTTGTTTCGGTCAGGACTTCGTCTTCATTTCGTGCATTATGTCGCGCTTCGGGCGACACGGAGGCGGTGAGTGTAAGAGACCGTGAGCATTGAACACAGCTGACGCAGAGTGCTTCATCTCGAGGAGTAGCTGAGGCTGGCTGGCTCTTGAGGAGCTTTAATGTGTTTAGTTCGAGCTGCTAGCTGTGATGGCGCCCTCGCGCGCTGTCAACACTGGCTAATAATCCGTTTACATGCACATTATTTGTGTTTGTGCTTTGGTGAGTTATTATATTGTTGGGTTGTAGGTCAGTATTAGGATGTATTTTAAACATGCTCGAAGAGTTTAGTTAAAGCAGCGAGGTCGTTATTAATTGAAATGATACTAAAATAAAATATTAATCTTAGATTTGGTTAAAAAAATTAAAAATGTTGTAAATTATTAAATAAAATAAATGTAAGCCGGGTAGAAATATTTTAAAATAATTTTTAAAAGAAACTTACAGAATGATAAAAGCACATAAAATGTAAAAAAAAAATTTAAATAAAAAAACTGAAAAAATATATAATAAAAAAACGATGTTGTAATGTTTTATATATATATATATATAATAAAAACTAGAGTCATGTATAATAAAAGTCCTGCTTATGTTGTGAATCATATGAGTGCTGGCCACTAGTATTCTCAGCAGCTAGAAATGGTTTTAAGTCAGTTAAGAACTGATGCTTCAGGAAACCTTATATAATATAAAACATGAGTAACATCTAATTGAACTCCAGATGTGATGTGGGTTTAAGCAGCAGAGTGATGGTTTCTATCAGGTGTTAAACTGGTCTTGAGTGGCAGGTGCCAGCTGTTAACCCTCTCTGCTCTCTCCTCTCTCAGAAACGAAGGTGTACGTGGGTAACCTGGGCACCGGGGCCGGGAAGGGTGAGCTGGAGCGGGCGTTCGGGTGTTACGGGCCGCTGAGGACGGTGTGGATCGCTCGCAACCCGCCGGGATTCGCCTTCGTGGAGTTTGAAGATCCCAGAGACGCTGAGGACGCCGTCAGGGGCCTCGATGCCAAGTGAGTGACTCCTGATCTGACATCGAGACGCTTCACGTTCACTCACAGAGCCGCGCTGGCGCTCATGTTCTTCCCAAGGAGCAGATTATCATGTACAAACTCCGAGGTAAAACTAGGGATGCTGTGAAAGTCAATCAAATCATTCGTTTTTCCTTAATAAAGATAGATTTGAATTCACAAAGTGCACTAGGTTTGCTTTAAACTGTATTTATTTAATAATTATTGGATTTTTTTTAATGTATTAAACATTTAATTAAATGCCGGATGCTGTTTATCGTGTAACAAAATGCCAATAATAGCCACAAAAAATCGTTGTACATAATTTGGGACTTTTAATTATAAACAAGCCTGAAATAGACTGGGACTCTTATTTTGAAAAGGTCTTTAGACTTCCTCAGACGTCACACTCACTGGCCGAGGGAGATCAAATATTCATCTAACAAATATACTGCAATATAAAGTAAGCATTGTCGTAATTTATCAGCACTAAGATAGTTTGAAGCATGCAGCATGTCGCGATAATTAAATAATTTTTACATTTACATTAATGTAAATATCTCTCAACTAATGCTGTAAAATATACACGAGTCAGTGGGTACTGTAATACCGCAGGTTAAAATTTACTGATTTGTTAAAATTACACTTAATGAAGTTTTTATAATAATTGAGTTGCGATTACTTCAGTTAGTTATTTTTTTTTTTTATGTAAACATTTAAATGGTGGCTGTCACGTAAATAAAACAGTTTAAATTATAATGAATATGTTATATGGTGCATATATTTAGCAAAATGCTCCTCTGCTATATTTCCGACTGAGTTTATGCTCACCGAATATGTTTTTCTGAGGTAAATGTGACGTTACATGACATTGTTTACAAGCTGTTATATTGATGTCTTTGCGCAGCTAAAACACTGATTAAGCGATTACATGAGACAGGATATGGATTGTAAAGTTGTACTCTTTCTTTTAACTTACCTTCGGATGTTTAGTCTTGTTTATTTTGTGCTGAAGCTGGTATTAATGTGGAGGAGATGATCAGTTCATGTGCGCCTCGCGCTGCTGTGTCTGATGATCGAGGCGCTACACCGATCTGTCACTCCACATTCAACAGCAAAATGTACTGATTTGTTAAAATTACACTTAATGAAGTTTTTATAATAATTGAGTTGCGATTACTTCAGTTAGTTTTTTTTTTTTTTTATGTAAACATTTAAATGGTGGCTGTCACGTAAATAAAACAGTTAAAATTATAATGAATATGTTATATGGTGCATATATTTAGCAAAATGCTCCTCTGCTATATTTCCGACTGAGTTTATGCTCACCGAATATGTTTTTCTGAGGTAAATGTGACGTTACATTGTTTACAAGCCGTTATATTGAGGTCTTTGCGCTGCTGAAACACTGATTGAGCGATTACACGAGACAGGAGACGGATTGTAAAGTCGTACTCTTTCTTTTAACTTACCTTTGGATGTTTAGTCATGTTTATTTTGTGCTATAACTAGTAATAAAGCGGAGGAGATGATCAGTTCAGCGATCACTCCGCATTAAACGGCACCAAAACAGCATTTATTGTTTGAATCCTGCAATACAACGGACATCATTTGAAATCTACCGAAGCACAATGATTATTGCGATATATGTGTCCCTGCAGCACAAAAGCAGTGTTGAGTCGCTGGGGGATATTTGTAGCAATAGCCAACAATACATTGTATGGGTCAAAATTATACATTTCTCTTTTATGCCAAAAATCATTAGGATATTAAGTAAAGATCATGTTCCATGAAGATATTT